GAATGAGAGCAGAGGAGTAGAGTAGTCACCGAGAGATTGTGTGTCTGGTTCTGTTTGGTTTTACGATAAGGGAGGCTGAAGAGAGGTTCCTGCAGAGGCAGGAAGGAGCAAGGTGTCACCCACAAGTATAGGGCTTGGCCTCCTAACACCTGGCCCTGCAATCATAATAGGAGGGGAGAAAATATACCAATACAAGTGCAAGTAGGCAGCTGACTGTGGTGGGTAGGGATGTGGGAGTTCTCAGGGCACTAGGAGCTAAGTCAGTGGGAATTAGATTGTGTCAGCGTACTTGTGTTGCAAGTGTCTGTAATACACACTTTCTGTATATACATTTTTCTATTGCTCAAACAGCAGAGTCATCAGCCTGGAGCTTCAGAACAGTTTCAGCAAACACTGGGTGCGGGTTTGGTTCTCCGGGGAGCCAGTTAGGTCTACTCCGTTAAAACAGTAAAACATAGCCCTAGGCTCAGTCAACTGTCTCGAAAGTCCTGCCTTCATTTCTAAAGCAGACAAACCAGAGAAAACCCACCAACACCATGGAAAAATGATCCAGCCATGTCCACCCTGATGCTGTGTCCCAAATAGCATCTTCCAACACAAATAGCCGCACATGGCCACCAACTAACTGTAAAGACAGGGTTTATGTTCATGCTCCATGGAGGTACTCAAAGCAATATCTCCCCGTCAGCAGCTTTGCACCCTCTGCAGAAAGTTCCCAAATCCATGACAGTGATGATCAGTTTAAGTTAGGGCAGTTCTATAGGAAGGACACACATAAATGGGTGAAGGGTGGAGACGAGGGAGATGAAGACACCCACCTGGCTGTTGAGGATGCATGCCCTTGGTGGGGAAACCAGTTCCAGCCAGCTGGCCCACACACAGTCCCAGTGTGAATGGGATGGCAAAGTAGGCATCTGGGAGGCCCATGGGATCAGGAGGAAGTGGTAAGGAGAGGAGGCTCAGGGCAGTGAGTGCCCAGTGGCTTCATGGCCAACGTGACCCACCTACCCAACCCCATGAGCTTGGGCAAGTTTCTTCCTGCTTCTAAGCCTGTTTCTAAGATGAGGATAATACCTACTTCAGAGGAGTACATGAAAATTAAAGGTGATGACTTAGCTGGGGTTTCTAGTGTGTGGGGAATAACCAGTAAGCAGCCATTACCCTGCCATGCAGTTTCAGCCAATATGATGTTCAGCCTCATTCCAGCCTCATGGGTTACACATCCTTTTTTTAAAAATAATTTTATTTATTTATCTGAGAGAAAGATCACGCACCCATGAGCCGTGGGGAGGGAGAGGGAGAAGCTGGCTCCCTGATCATCAGGGAGCCCAAGGTGGTACTTGATGCTGGGACCCTGGAATCGTGACCTGAGCCCAAAGTGGATGCTCAACCACTGAGTCATCCAGACACCCCTCCACTTTATTTTTTTTAAGAGTTATTTATTTATTTTAGAAAGAGAGAGAGTATGTGTGTGTGTGAGCTGGGTGGGAGGGGTAGAGGTAGAGGGACAAGCTGACTCTGTGCTGAGCACAGAGCCCAGCTGTCCAGGACCTGAGACCAAACCAAGAGTCCCCACACCTCACCGACTGAGCCACCCAAGCCCCCAATAACATTCTACTTTAAATTAATATTTGGAGGACACCTGGGTGGCTCAATGGTTGAACATCTGCCTTCGGCTCAGGGCATGATTCCAGAGTCCTGGGATCGAGTCTTGTATCAGGTTCCCCGTGGGGAGCCCGCTTCTCCCTCTGCCTGTGTCTCTGCCCCTCTCTGTGTCTCTCTCATGAATAAATAAATAAAATCTTTAAAAATAAATAAATAAAAATAACTTAGTATTTGGGGTGATGTTATTTCTCTCCTTTTATACTTTTCCTTAATTTGCATGGTTTATAATGAGTATTTATCATTTTTTTCTTCAAAAATAAGAGCTTTCTAAAAATCCACTAAGTGGAGATGTTATCTATAATAAAATGCACCTGTTTCAAGTGAGCACCACTATGAATTCCAACGAATTTATCCACCACAGTGCAGATGCAGAACACTGTCATCACCCCAGAAAGATCTGTCCCACAGTGCCCCAGCCCCCACCCCAGGCACCACTCATCGGTTTTCTGCACCAACCAGTAGATTTGTCTTCCCTGGTTTCATGTGAAAGACCCAGCACACTCTGTACTCATTGCTCACCAGCTCCTTCACTCAGCGTGCGTGAGGTTTGTCCATCCGATTTCGTAAGCCATCCCCTGATTATTGCTGAGTAATAGTCGTCTTGTGGTTGGGCTACAATTTGTTAAACATTTGAGTTGTTTCTGGACCTTCCTGCCATTATGAATAAAGCTTCTGTGAAGAGCATGGATGTGTTTTATTTCTTTTGAGTGGATACCTAGGAGCCCTAGGGTCAGTGTGTGTGTCACTTTACAAGAAACTGTCACACTTTTCCACAGACATACCATTTTACACGGTCACCAGTCACGCATGAGAGAGTTCTAGGCTCTCCACGTCGTCCCCAAAGCTGGGTGCTGTCAGACCTTTCAAGGGGGCCATATGCTGGTCTCATGCTGGTGCACATGTGCATTTTCCTGGTGATTGGTGGCGTCCAGCATCTCTTCTGTGCAAATTTCCCATCTGCTCTCATGAAGCATATGTTCCAAACTTATGCCCATTTTTCAATTTGGCTGAGGGTTGTGGTGCTACTGGATTGTGAGTGTTACATACATTCTGGATGCAAGTCCTTTGTCAGATATCACTGTGGCATATGTTACCTGCCATTCCATGACTGGCTTTTTTGAGTTTAACAACTTTATTGAGATATAATTCTAAATTGTTTTTATAAGAGTATAATTTTTAGGGTTTTTTTTCTTTTCTGGTACAGGTTTTTATGCTATAGCTAAGAATCTCTACTCCAAAGTTGTGAAGATTTTCTCCTATGTTTCTTCTGGGATTTTTATAGTTTTAACTTACATGTAGGTCTATGATCTGTTTCACCTTCATCTCTGTGTGTGGCTTGAGCTAAGCATTGGGGATCATAAACCCTCCTCTTTTTCTGTAATAAAACACATGGGAGCTGCAGTTTGAAAGACCAGGTCACAAACCAAGCCAGAAGTGTCACTGGTTTCCTAGGAGTTACTCTGTTACAAGATCATTGTGGCATAGAAGCCAGGGTTTGGGGGGGCCTGGATGGCTCAGTAGGTTCAGTGTCTGACTCTTGATGTCGGCTCAGGTCGTGATCCCAGGGTTGTGAGGGAGGTCGAGCCCCAAGTAGGGCTCCGTGCTCAGCTGGGAGCTGCTGTAGACTCTCTCTCCCTCCCCATCTCTCTGCCCCTGTCTCACTCACACTCTCTAGCTCTCTCTTAAAAAAAAAACAAAAAAAAAAAAAAAAAAACAACAAGCCAAAGTTTGTGGTTTCTTGTGCAAACGTATTCCAGGTAGCAGCACCCATACATACACTTCCTGTTCTGTCCATTCATGACTCTTTGTGCTGAACACTTAGTTCCAATCCGTGGGAACAGGAAGCAGGGAAGCACTGAGCTAGAACAATGGGGTAGGAGTGCCCCCTGTTTCAGACTCAAGCCCCCGATGCCCCAGGTGGTCGGCTCTCAGACATGATTTGATAAATCAGCCAAAGTTACTTCTGCAAAAGACGTTTCCCAACCGACTTGCCCCCGTGCCCTAATCCACACTGTCAAGAATCACAGGGGACATTTAACTACGGAGGCCACATGTGGTCATCGAAGGGAGGTGGACATTAGGAGCACACTTGTCCTGATGGAATAAAATACAATAAGATACAGAACCTGTTGGTTGTCTGGTTGTCCGAGGTCTGCTCTGTGGGGAGCACTAGACGGCCACAGGGCGCATGCATGGGAGATTTGTGCTGCGTAGACACTGCCTCAGGAAGACTGATTCCTGAAGAGGTTTCTTCAGAGCAACTTTTTAAAAAAAGAATCACAGAGGAAGTGAAGCTTGAATCAGCTGAAATCCCCTGTGAGAATGCAGAGTCTGAGAGCAAGGGGCTCAGTTTCTTTAGATCAACTACTTCCTCAGAAAGGTGACACAAGCCTCCGGGAGCAGAGACTGTGTCTCCAGGGTGGGGAAGAGTAGGAAGGTCTAGAACAGAGTATGTATGGTGTTAACTCCTGTCTTGCAGTTAATTCTACTGATCTGAAATTGGAACTCAGGATGTAACAGAAGACACAATTTTCTAATTTATGAATTATTAAAAAAATTTATTTAGGGGTGCCTGGGTGGCTCAGTGGTTGAGCGTCTACCTTTGGCTCAGCGTGTGATCCTGGGGTCCTGGGATCCAGTCCTGCATCCAGCTCCCCACAGGGAGCCTGCTTCTTCCTCTGCCTGTGTCTCTGCTTCTCTCTGTGTGTCTCTCATGAATAAGTAAATAAAATCTCTTTTAAAAATGTATTTAAAAAAATAATAAAAAATAAAAATGTATTTATTTGAGAGCAGGGGGAGGGAGAGAGGGCAAGAGAATCCTCAAGCTGACTCCTCACTGAGCACAGAGCCCAACCCAGGTCTCAATCCCATCACCCCAATATCATGACCTGAGCTGAAACCAAGAGTGAGATACACAACCAAGGGAGCCACCCAGGAGCCCCCTAATTTATGAACTTTTTAAAGGGGAAAGTTTAACTATGGCTCAATGCTGAGTCACTGGCATATGTGTCTTTGTTCCGACTACCCCAGAGTATCCCTGGGCATCTGTTGCTGTCCTTTTGTCAACTCCCCACAGTGGGCTGGGGAGCGGGGTTTGTGGGGCGGGCATCAGTAGAAACCCCTAACCATCCAGGGTCATGGGGGCCACGGGAGTCAGGACCTCACTCCCACGCCGTGTCCTCGAGTGACATGGAAACGGACTTCTGGGGGATGGGCGCACCCTCAGGAAGCTCAGCCACAGGGCAGAGAAGGCGTCCTTCCACTTCCACACCTGTCCCCCGTCTGAGCTGCACCCTTTCGCTCGGCTCCCAGGAAGCACACAAATTACATACAGAGACAAATATGATTTATTCATTTAAACAGGGAAAAAAATCCCATGACACTGACTATGGAGTTACAGCAGCACGGTCACTTGTTTGGAAATAGAAATAAGTGCTGGCAACACTTTTTGCAAAAGAGTCAAGAGAACTTGGCAGGTTTCACAATCAGGAGAGTCCCTCTGGGCCAGTCAGTAGTATTGCTTTAGGTGTGACCACATTTCACACACTGTTCCCAGAACTTCCAGAAAAGTCAGCCATCCAGACTTGGGTTCGAACTTCTTCACAAAGCCGTTTTCCTGTTAGAGAACAAATTTCACATTTTAAAAATCAGGGGAGACAGTTTTGTGGGACAAAAAGCAAACACTCCCACCCCACTGCTGCTGGCAGTTGGTCCCATCTGTGCCTGCACTGGTCTCCGCCCATCCGACTGTCCGTCTGTCCATCCACACCGTGGCTGCGGGGCAGCACCGTCCCACAGAAACACAGTGTAAGCCACAGATGGACCATTAGGTTTTCAGTAGCCACATTGTTGAAAAGTAAGGGGAAATAGGTAAAATTAATTTTAAAAATATATTTATCTAAAATATTATGATTTCAATATATAATCAACATGAAAATTATTGCGATATTTTACCTCTTCTGTACCCAATCCTTGCAATCCAAGGTATGTGCTGCACTGACTGGCCCAACTGAAATCAGACTTACCACACTTCAAGTGCTGAGCAGGTGCAGGTGCCCACCGGCTACTGTGCTGGACAACACAGCTCTAGAGGACAGAAACCTCCTTTTCTGGCTCTTTTTCAATTGTCTGGCATTGAAATACTCATTGATGTTTGTAAACAGAATCATGCAGGGTCATGAGGCTCATGATAAAGCTAAATTAAACAGTGCCTCTGAGCCTATGAGGAGGTGGTTGTTTCTACTATGATTCATTCTCTTTTTGGTCATTGTTTTAAAACAATAGAGTGTTTGTACACTGTAATTTATGACTATAATCATAGAGCATCCTTACTGCAGAGTACCTCTGAGATCCCCCAGCCTAATGGAGATATAGGCCCATTATACCAAGGCCCCGGAGAGAGCCAGTGGCCTCTTACCTAGCTTTTTAGCACCTGGGCCTGGAAGGGGATGCAAACACTGTTCTTTCCATTCCATGAGCTTCCAAACAACCACCCAAAGGATTAGGACATTGTTAGAATAATTTTTGTAAATGTTCACCTAGTAATTGTTTGATCTGCCTCCAGCAGGCTCCAGATTCTGGGGTGACAATGCCTTCAAGCAGGTCCTAGTGCAGGTGGCTCTAGAAAGTAAACCAAGCACATCTCTGGATAACTAGAAGAGACTTGTGGCCCAGCACCCTGCCAGCACCTGCCTGAGCATGGCCAGGGCACACTGACACGAGTCAGGGGGCTTGTCCATGGGAAGGGTTGCCCAGGAATGCCAGCTTCTGCCCACGTACGAGTCAGGTTGTAGTCATACTCTGAGACACATGATGTCATGGCCTAACAGAGGGAACAGTCTGCTCCCTCTCTGTCCTCCTCCTCCCTCCAGACTTACATGCACACGTTTCTCATTCTAGGTGTGTGTGTACCTAGCTGCTTCCCTTTCCAGGATTTCAGGAACCCCATAGTAACGAGGCACTGTCAGATGACTTCTTTTATTACAACAGTGATCACAGTCTATTATGATTGGGCAGTTAACATGTCATCTTCCATACATTCAGCTTCTCAACAAAGGGAAAAACTGACAAATTCAGCTATATGAAGATTAGAGCGTTTTTTTTAACTATATGAAGCTAAAATTAAAAGGCAAGAATTCACAGTAGCTAAAACATGAAAGCAATGCAAGCATCCATCCATTGATGAACAGATTACCCAAAAATGGCATATGCATACAGTAGAATACTGGTCAGCCTGAAAGGAAAGACACTCTGACACCTGCCACACAGTGGACGAGCCTCGAGGATGTGACGCTCATTGAACTAAGCCCATCACAAGAAGACAAATACTGCATAATCCCATTTATATGAAGTATTCAGAATAGTCAGCATCATCAAGACAAGGTAGGATGGTGGTTTGTGTGATCTGGGGCGCAGGGGATGAGGAGCAAGTGTTTGGGGGCACAGAATCCTGGGGGTGGATGCTGGTGATAATGCACAATGGCACAACTGTATAGAACACTACTCATGTGTGCACTTACATGTGGCTGAGCTGTAGGGTTTATGTTATGTGCATTTTAACAGAATAATAATATAAAAAGAACCAACTAGGAGAATATGTACATTTATATGAAATACTTCATTCAGATGTAAGAGAGTCATCATCAAGCCCTTAAGAGTTAAACAGACAGGGACGCCTGGGTGACTCAGTGGTTGAGCATCTGCCTTTGACTCAGGGCGTGATTCCAGGGTCTGGGATTGAGTCTCGCATCGGGCTTCCCACAGGGAGCCTGCTTCTCCCTCTGCCTGTGTCTCTACCTCTCTCTGTGGGTCTCTCGTGAATAAATAAACAAAATCTTTTTTTTTTTTTAATTTTTTTTTTTTATTTATTTACGATAGTCATACAGAGAGAGAGAGAGAGAGAGGCAGAGACACAGGCAGAGGGAGAAGCAGGCTCCATGCACCAGGAGCCCGACGTGGGATTCGATCCCGGGTCTCCAGGATCGCGCCCTGGGCCAAAGGCAGGCGCCAAACCGCTGCGCCACCCAGGGATCCCAACAAAATCTTTAAAAAAAAAAAAAGAGTGGAACAGACAAAGGCTGTTGAAAAGAGAAATATAATCACAAACAAGTGTATGGGAAAAATTCAACATTACTAGCCGTTAAAGAAATCCATGTTTTAACACAATCTTAATGCTTTTTTAGAACTACTACATTGACCTTTTTATTTCGAGTCTATGAAGCCTCCCAGAGTATCCTGAATGGTCCTGCCCCATGCTGGTGGAGCTGCTAGGACATCATTCCATTGCTAAGGCCCTTTCGGAAAGCAGTAGATATGCGTGAGCAGTGCGACAGTCCTCACACCTATGAACCAGTCCATCTCTTGTCAGAGATGGATCATGGGGCCAGTCTGGAAGTGTTATTTCTAAGAAGAAAGGCAACCCAAATGTCTAACAATTGGGAATCAGTCAAGTAATTAAGATGCATAAAGTTGGTGGGATATTCTGCAGACATTAGAAATGTCGACATGGGGCCTATGAGGCAGTGCTGAAAACATTTGTGATATCACATGAGAAACTCTTTGTGCACCTTCGTCATAATTACATATGATGTGTGCGCAGGGACACATTAAGGCAGGGGAGTGACTTTTCTACTTTCAAACATATATTTTCAATGATAACTATTTGTATCTTAAAACCATTACATGGGGGCACCTGAGTGGCTCAGTAGGTTGAGCATCTGACTCTTAGTTTGGGCTCAGGTCATGATCTCAGAGTCATGAGATAAAGCCACTCATCGGGCTCCCTACACTGAGTGTGGATCCTACTCAAGATTGTCTCTCTCGCACTTCCTCTGCCCCTTCCCACCCAGCTCATGCTCTCTCATTCTCTCAAAGAAAAGAAAGTATATGAGAAGAGATACAGAACTAAGGATTCAATATCCTGTCAGTAATGCAGTAATATGCAGGGAGTGCCCAGATCTGGTTCTTTCTGTGAATAGCTTTTATTAAATACGGCTACCTTGGCTTCAAGAATGCCCGAAGCATACAATAATATCCTGCATCAATAACTCAAAGAAAATCAGACCCTCAGTATTGTTTAGATCGAGGGAAATACCGTGGTGCTATTCTCACACTTCTCTAGAGATTATTCACTCATTTATTCATTTGACAAATATTTATTGAGCATCGGCCACATGCAGGTAGTGTTGTAAGGACTGGAAACACACTGGTGAACTAAACATGCAGGACCCCTGGCCTCACTGGGCTTGTCATTGAGAAAGACAGAACAGACAAGTAGTCCTGAGGCAGTTGCCAAGACATCAAGCAGGGCACGGGGATAGAGTGGTGGTGGTGCCATCAGAGACAGGATGGCTAAGGAAGAGTCCCCCAAGGAGGGCAGCTTTGGCACACAACCCTGGGAGGCTCCACTGGGCCTATGCAAGCCTCTGGCTTTGGAAAGAGCAAGGCGAGGGGATGGGGTAGGGTGGTGGGAAGTGTACTTAGCTTATCCAGGGAGGATGCAGCTACAAGAGCACAGGAGGGACTCGTAGAAAATGAGATCCAATACGGACTTGAGTACAGCAGTCAGGACTTTGTATTTTATGCTTGCCACCAGGGTGAAGGGGTGCTTAGCAGGGTTCTGACCAGACCAGGACATGGTGGGATCCAAGCTGCTCACTGGCTGCTGCGTGGGGAGCAGCCCGTGGCAGGGTAAGGATGGAAGCAGAGAAACGGGACAGGCTACGGACCCATCGGGGGGAGATGGGGCCTAGATGTCCTGAGGATATGGTTTCAAAGGTGCCACGAACAGGACTTGCTGATGAACCTGACATCGGGTGCGGGAGCGAGGAGTTTAGGGTGACCCAAGGTCAGAGAGTATTCTGGAAAGACCCACGGGGAGGCTTGAGTTCTGTCTCACCTCACTTTCCATGAAATGATCATAAATCTCAAGCTAAAATTCAAGAGAAGTATAGGAAGAATCTGGCCCCCAAATCTAATCCAAGGCTGTGAGAGACTCCTAGAAATTCCATCACCTCACGACTATCTCTTTACGCCCATAGAAAATGCCTCTGCCAACAGGACACTGGGTCTCCAGCATCTTTTTGTGTGGCTCCAACACACCAGGGGTCATCAAACACCAATACCAGCCAAAACGACCTAACTCTCATTTGGAAAGCACCCGCACTGCCCATGCATCCCTGCTTTCAAAGGGGCTTTCTTTTGGCATTTGGGTAGTTTTCAGAATTACGCATTTAAACCTCTTGAAATTTCCCTTATAACCTTCATAGTCGCATCATATTTGACATTTTACTAAGACAAAGACAGAAATATCTTTCATCTTTTAACTCCCGTGCTAAGGCTGGCGTTCTTGTCTTCCTTATATGCTACGTATATAATCTATGCGACATTATATTCATTATAGAAGGTTCTGAGTCTCGGGTTGCTTCATGACTCCCTCAGGATCACAACTCTGGTGATTAGCAAAACCAAAATTTAAGTCTCAATTTCGATGTTTTCATGCAGTCGTTCCATTGGCCAGTATTCTTGGGCTGCCCTCTGTGTAAAAGGCCTCTGCCAAGCGTGGGGAGGACGGTGGAGCACTGAGCAGACGTGATTCATCCTGGTCTTGGGCTGTGCCAAGTGCTGCTCCACCAGCACAGGTCCAGGAGAGTACTTTGTGGGAGCAGACAAGAGCCACCCCGCTCCACAGGACAGGGAGGTGGGGGTGAGGCCACAGGCTCCTCTCAGATAGGGAGCTCCTCTCAGGTAGGGAGCTCTCACTCTCAGCACTGAGGAGGGTACGGGGGAGGGTGGGGTTATGGAGTGTAGGGAAGGGGGAGGGAGGGGGTAGAGAGGGAAGGAAGAGAGAGGGAGGGAGGAGGGGGGAGGGGAAGAAGGGCAGAGGGAGGGGACCGGAAGGGAGGGAAAGAAAGGAACTCAAACTGATCAGCGTGAGAAAGAGCATGAGTGGTGCATGGGTCTTTCTTCCCAGTAGGGCCTCTGGTTTCGGTGGTGACAACCACATAATTGTTGGGAGTATAACTTAGGAAGACTAGGTGTGGTGAACCGGGAAGTCAGCAGTACAACTACTACAAAAAACCGTAATCCTAAATTTGTGTTGCATACATCTGGGAAGCTGTTCTAGGTGCTTTACCTACAGTGGTGACTGATTCACCCTTAGGTCCTGGTGCAGGTGGCCCCATTCCCCCCAATTTACAGAGGAGGCATTGAGGCTCAGAGAAGTTGGCTAACCCATCATGACCCCCACACCAGGAGCCGGCAGCCAGCATCCCGCTCAGATCCCTCTGATTCTCAGCCACTACTGTGATATCTGTGCTGCCTCATTCTCCGCCTTCTTGACCCAAGAGTTCTCATGCTTGAAACTGAATTAAACTGTGGATATTCTTCAGTTGGTGCTAAATGCTCTTCTCACCTTTCATTATACACAAACATTTCAAAATTTGGAGCCAGTGACCACAAATCTGGGTGACAGCAGACAAGACACTGGACCCTGTGCTTCTGGATTTGTCATATTTGACCGGTTTTCACCGATCTGTATCTTTACACTCCAAGAGAGCAGGTGTGTGATTGTGGCCCGTGCCCTGAGATGAACCCTTCATGTGTTAAGTTCACGCACCTGAGCAGATGTGTCAGCATCTCTGGGAAGATGGATTCACGCGGCCGTGATAGCATGTGCTGACTCAGATCACCACGTTTCGGGTCAAGACTGCCTCCGCCACATCCCACATCTAAGCATAGGTGTGAAAGGTGCTCCAAGTCCACCCAAACTGGGGGACCTTGTGAAGACTGAGAGTGCACACGGGCACACATGTGTGTCTACTGAAGACGGCTCTATCCTGCCACACTCACACTCACACCTGGGCTACCCCCGAAAGGCAGGTCCACTTCTAGAAATTCTCAGAGATCATCCCACACCCCCACTGAAGATGAGGTCCATGACCTCACAGAATATATCATTGAGGTGTTACATTTTTAAGTCACATTTATCACTGTGTATGTGTTCCAGGTGCCACGTGAGGCACTGGGCACAGTAATCTGCAGGCTCACATGAGGGCCCCTGCCCTAGACAAGCGTCGTCTTCAGTGGAACCTCCACCCACGGCCAGTAGAGCTTCCCACAGCCGACCAGATGGGAGCGGGACCCACCACCCTCAGGCTTCACCCAGCCCCAGGTATATCGGGTCAGGAGAACACAAGAAGGGGTGATGCAAGGGACATCACATAAAATGCAACTGCATCAAGTTTTAGAACATTTACAATAACCAGGGGCACCTGGGTGGCTCAGTGGGAGGAGCCTGCGACTCGACCTCAGTTCAGGGTCATGAGTTCAAGCCCCAAGTTGGGTATGGAGTTTACTTAAAAATAAAATCTTTGGGACACCTGGGTGGCTTGGTAGTTGAGCATCTGCCTTTGGCTCAGGGCATGATCCTGGGTCCTGGGATCCAGTCCCGTATCAGGCTCCCTGCACAGAGCCTGCTTTTCCCTCTATCTGTGTCTCTGCCTCTCTCTCTATCTGTGTCTTTCATGAATAAATAAGTAAAATCTTTAAAAATAAAATCTTCAAAAAATAAATAAAAAATAAAAATAAAACATTTATAATAACTGAAGACAGCTATAGTTTTAAATGACAACATATTAGAATTATCTGCCACATATATAAAAATAATACATAAAAATATTTTTTTCATATATAAAAAGATTTGAAAATAAAAACATACGAGAAAGAATTGCTATAAATCGATGAGGAAAAGACAAAAAGTAGGAAAATGGGCAAAGAATGTAGCAAACAACCCCCTGAGTAAGAGTTAGGTGTGGTCAGTGAGTGTCTGGAAAGGAGCTCAGTCTCGCTGGCGACTAAGGGACCAGGCACTGAAGTGAGAGAACAACTTTGATGTATTTTCCTAACGCAGGGCAGGTCAGCGGGCATTCAGGCCTCTCCGGAAGGCGATGCCCCACGAAAGGGGCGCTTGAATGGGGGTGCTCGGTGAGGTACTGTCTGTGGTGGCAAACTGAACATAATAGAGCTTTCCACCTGCCAGAGATGGCCAGACCCTCAACAGCACATACACAGGACTCTTTTTTTTTCTAGGACTCTTTAAAATAATTATTTTATCTTTAATAATTATTTTTAATTAATATTTTAAAAATAAAAAAAATAAAATAATATTTTAAAGACCCTCGGATAAAAAAAAAACAGCAACAGAATAAGTACCGTGTACTATTATATACATAAAAAAAATTCTACAAAAAAAATACTATGTTTATTTTCTTTTTCTTTTTTCTTCTCTTTTTAAGAGAGAGACAGCTGGTTGGCTCAGCAGTTGAGCATCTGCCTTCAGCCCAGAGCATGATTCCGGAGTCCTGGGATCGAGTCCCACATTGGAGTCCCTGCAAGGAGCCTGCTTCTCCCTCTGCCTGTGTCTCTGCCTCTCTCTCTCTGTGTGTCTCTCATGAATAAATAAATAAAATCTTTAAAAGAAAAATAAGAGAGGGAAAGAGAAAGAGAAAGAGAGATGGGGGGAGGGGCAGAGGAAGAGGGAGAGAATCTGGACATGGGGCTCCATCCCACAACCCTGAGATCACAGCCTGAGCCGAAATCAAGAGTCAGCTGCTTCACCCACTGAGCCACCCAGGTGCCCCAAAAAAGGACTTTGTGTATTTTCTCTGGATGTAACCAAGAGGCAAGATTTGCATGCAACATAACTGATAACAGTGGGGAACCCCTCTCTACGGGTAGGAGAGGGCTAGATTTGGGGGATGGAAAGAGGATCCATGAGACACGAGTGCTGAAAAAGTCAGTGTTAAGTATTTCAGGTTTAAAGACAGGTGCTACTATCCAGCTACGAAAAGCCTCTTATCAGTGACTTTTGACACTGCCCTCTCCGCCTCCCAGTCTGGGCTTTTGGAGGCTTTGATAATAAAGTGAATTGTTGTTTGAAAACTCTCAAATAAAGATTCTTGCTAGAGGTACAGCATGTGATATATATATATTTTTTTTTATCAGTAGGCTTTAACAGCCAGAATCTGTTCTATTAGAAAACTAGGGGAAAAAATCAATTTGTAAATGATGAACTTGCAAAAATGTACCTGTGTTTTGCAACATAACAGCTACCCAGTACAACAGCATCTCACAGCAGCTCTCATAATGCTGCGTGGTCCTGACAGCCTGGCCAGAACCGCGCCCCCAGAAGACCTCGCTGCAGATGCGGACTGCTCACCTGGGGCTCCCCAGGTCCTACCCCCGTAGCTCACACACCAGGAATAAAAACTGCAAGCTCCTGTTACCTTCCAATTACAGAGTTCCAAGTTCCTTCTCATTTTGAAAATGTGAAACGTTTAAAATAAGCCACCCAGAGAAAATGGTAGATTTTTAAAAACTAGGGAGAAGCCATCAATGCCCACGTCAAGGTAAGGGTGGCGAAGAAGGTGCCCATCGTACGTACCCAGCCTCCGTTTTGTCTTATCCAGTCTCTCATGTTTCTCGTGATGAACTCTGCCACGAAGTAGGAAATCTTCTCGGCATCCACATCCGAGGAAATCCGCTGCTCGAGGAGCTTCTTGGTGAGAATTCCTTCAAAGGCAAAAACGGTCACGATCCTTCCCCAGTTAATGACGCCGTCTTCAAATTCCTTCTCCATCACCTGATTGAATATGGTTCTGGCCGTGTCGACGGACACCACGTCAAAACTGTCCAAGCACGGCTTCAGGTTCTTTTCCACCTCCCCCTGGACGGAGAAGGCCACGTCCTGGAGCACCCTGGACGCTCTGCTGGGGGCCGGGCCGGGCTGCGGGATCTGCAGGACGCGCCTCACGTAGTCCTGGGCCAGCGCCAGGGTGTAGCCAAACTCGCAGTCCGTCATCTTCGGCTTCGGCCCGCCCGCCCGCCGCGATGGGAGCCTGGTCCCCCGTGAGCTGCCTGCGGCCCTGTGAGGCCGGGGCTGGCGGGGCTCGGGATGTGACTCATGGCGGCACGTGGAAGCTGGTGGAATTTCTGTGTGCATCACTGCGCCGGCTCCTTCCTCCTCGTCACTCTCGGGCGTGGGCTGTGTGCGAAAGAGAAAGTTGAAAACGTGTAAGAGGAAACCGGTTCAATGAGAGGCTACTTCCTTAAAGTGTTGGTGATTCATTCAGGGACTTAAGGTCTGAAGCCAGGACGGAGAGAAACCAGGGCCCCCGGCCCCCGGCCGCACCCGGGGAGGTGAGGAGGCAGCGAGGCAGCCTTTGTGCAAACTGGCAGGTCCCCAAGATGCCGCGTGGAGAATTGCCATCCAACCCTGCAGTCCTGCCCTGAAGACCTGGAAGCAGGTTCTCAAACCCTCACACATCAGCGTTCGCAGCAGGTCTCTGGCTGCCCAAGTCACAAACCTGGAGGCCAGGGTAGCGGCCAGAGTGGTCCCACATGCTGCCGCTCCACCTGGGTGGGGAGGTGAACCCACACTCCCAGAGCCCGTTGCAGCCGGTGACGGGGAGAGGGGTTGGGAGAGCCTGTGGCTGTGCCGGGGACAGGGTTTGACAGGACTCCACTGACTTGTGCGTGTCGAAATGGCTACTTTTAAGTCTGGGAAGGTCACTGCAGAGAAGTGTCAGAGGCGGCCACCTGGGGAAGATCTGAGCCTGAGAATCTGCAGGGAAGCATCTAGCCACTGTGTCCTTGAGCCAGGGTGGGGGGCGGGGAACAGTGCAGCCTCCAGCCTCCATATCCCATAGACTCCAGAACATCTGCCATGCAGAAAACAAGCCCCTTGTTCACGGTCTTGAGTCTATCCCACGACTGAATCAGACACAGTGGCCCCGGGAAGGGCCCTAGACTCACACTCAGGTCCCCTCATCCCCCACTTGTTGAGTGTCCCACATGTGTGAGGAGACCATGAAGACAGCTCAGGGCCTGAGGAGGGTGAGTGGGTGCCTGGAACAGGCCTGGGGTTGCCTCCACTCCAGGCCTGGTGAGTGGCCACCTCCCTGGTCAGGGTGTCACTTGGTGAGCACAGTGTGAGGTAGGGACAAGTCTCTGTTCAAGCCTGAGCCACTGCCAGACATGGACACAGTGCAGGACTGGAGGCAGAGAGGAGCATCGGGAAAGGGTGGGTAAATGGCAGGGGTGCAGGGAGACCCAGGTCCCCTGCCATGGCCACGGCCACTCTGCAGAGCCAGCCTTGCCAGCAGGAGAGAGCTGGACACACTCCAGTCACATATGGAGTGATGGCGATGTCACATCCAGTGTCCAGAATGACCACAGAACAATCACTCATGTACCAGGTATGTGTCTAAACCCACAAGCCAGGACTAACGGGCAGGGGAGGGTCCCAGGGCTTGAGGTGGCTGTGAAGGCACACCTGTCAGGAACTCCTGCTTCAGGAATGCAATCAAAGAGGCCCCATGGCTGCACCCCAAATCCCCCTGCCGGCAGTGAGGCCACACTCTCACAAGCCACCCCCTGTCCATGACTGAGCAAGGCAGGGGCTGCACAGACACCAGCCCATGGGTCAGCCTCCTCTGGAGCACAACTTGGCTTCAGTGACTCGCCAGCAGCACTGGGGACACTTTCTGATGCTGGACTATGGGTTAAGGTGCTTCCCTCAGCCTCCCCTCCACTGCTTACTGGGGTCCTCAGAGCTCCCAGCCTCACCCCCTGCCTCACCCAGCTGGGGCTCTGGCATTTCCCCAGTGAGTCTCTGGAACACCCAACCCCCTGGTCCTGGAGTCCTGAACTGATGGGGCCTGAACAGAACCAAGAAGCCTGCAGACATGCACCAGAGCCTTTTCTCCATGACGTCCCTGGGGACAGTCCTCCCGTGCCCACCCTTGCTATGTCCACTCACCCACAGGAACATGAAGCCAACAGCAGGCAGCCTTCTCTCCCCAGAACATCGTTGGGCATCATAAGAACCACCAAAGAGATGGGACATTTTATTTCTCCCCAGCAGTGATGCACATTCCTGCACAAGCAATATAAGCACGTGGTCTCAGAGCTGCAGGCTTTCTGGGGTCAGGTCCACACTTTCTCTTTCACTCTGCTCAAGCCTGCCGCTGGGAAGGCAGCTCAATGATCCGCTGAGTAAAGGAGATGCACTTCTCTCACAACTTGGGCCAACCCCACTTAGGGCTCTATCTTCCTGACCTTCTGGGTTCACAAAGGTGTTGCCGTAAAAACTCTGAAATAGTGTAGCCTGCTAATTTACTTCATTTAAGAGTATCCAAAGAATCATTTCTCAAGAACAGCTGGCAGAGAGAAAGATAAAGTCTTTACCAAAAAGAATGATTTCCTTTTTATGGAAAGTGCAGTGACTGAAGGGGGATGTGGGACGGGAATACGCAGCTACCCACGGCCTGGCTGTGAACACAAAGGAAGGTGTCCTGTCCTGTGCCACCACAGCCCGGGTCTGCATTCACCAGAGGCCAGTGTCAACACGTTTTCCTATCTCCTGAGCTCTGTCCACATGGGGAATTCTGAAAGAAATTAGGTCTCTACTCCCAGCACACACTGAGGGTGTCATCCAGAATGGGGGTGGGGGATGAGTCTGGAAACCGTACATGGACTGTCAGGTGCTCGGGATAGAAATGCCTGCCCCTGGAGAATATTCCATCCAGAAGCCAAGCCATGTTAGAGGCAGCCGAGGAGCTGGAGGGGGAATAATTAGAGATGGTCTCTGCAGCATCCCTCCCAGTATGGGGGGTCCCTCCTAGAGCCTGTCCTGAGGCCACAGAGGCAGGTGTGTGGACACATCACAATGCCAAGGTTCTGGAAATGCACCTGTATCATGCTCATCTACTGTGGGCCTCGGGGCAGATGGATGGTAGGAAATGACAGATGATTCCTTAAATCTGTCCACACTGAGCCAACACCCGGGACCCGACCCAGGTTTTCTCTATACACATCTGTCCAGAAGCTTCTACTGAAGAAGTGTGGAGTCTGGGTAGGGCTGAGGGAAGAACACATGTCTGAGAATAATGACCAGGGGAGCGTGAGTCATCTGAATAATGACCCGCCCCTTCCACCTGTAAAGTGCATTAGGCTGCATTATGTGGAGACATGTCTATATTTCAGTCTTCTGCCGATTTAAAATCAAATTATCCTTTTTTATTGCTGAGTTGTAAGAGTTCTTTATATATTCTGGATTCAATTCCAGATAAATATCTAATGAAGACATATGATTTGTTAATAGTCCTCCCATTCTATAGCTTGTTTTTTCATTCTCTTGATGGTGCCCTTTAATGTACTAATGTCTTTAATTTTGACGAAGTCCAACTTACTGTGCGTGGACAACCTCACACCTACTCCTTGTGGTTACATGAGTCATCACGTCTATCCACATACATTCCACTTATCTACTGCTTTGCACCAAAGCAGCCCCCAGATCTTGGTGGGCTGAAAGACAAACTCGCTCATGCATGTGGAACGTGGGCAGGGCTCGGGAGCGGGCACCGGTCTCTGCTCCACGACGCCTGGGCGGCAGTCTCAGGACCGTTTTCTGTGGGGTCCCCAGCTCAGTTCATACTTCTCACATGGTGGCTCCAGGTCCCAAGAGCAAGTGTCCCAGCAACAAAGGCAGGATAGGAATGGCCCTTCCTAACCGTCGTGAGCTCTGAGGGCACCATTTCTATCATCCCGTACTGGTAGAGGTAGCCACAAGCCCATAGCAGTTCAAGAAGAAGAAGCACAGACTACTTTTACTGATGAGAAGGGTGTCAAAGAACCTGCAGCCATGTCGTAAGGCTGCCACAGTGGACCACGCATGTGCAAGCTCACACGCACACTCGTACGATGTAGTCGGTGGGATCCTCAGAGCACCTGCGGGCTGGTATGGCAGAGATGAGCCTGGGAGCCAGTCTGCCCACCTGTGTGCCCAGCAGGTGATGGCGGGGCTGAGAATGCCCTGGGTCAGAACCCCCCCGGCCCCCCCACCCCGAGACAGGATCACCTGGAGAGGATGTCCTCTCTCCTCCCTCCTGACTGTGGGGACCACCGCGTGTCCTTCCTCCCTCTCCTGCACCAGCAGAGTGCAACGAGGAGTGGAGGGAAGAAACCTGAGGCTACCTAACTGTGAAGTGGCCTGGTGGATCCCAGCTCCAGGACAAGGGTCCCAGATGTGTAACCTCAGGGAAAAGCTGCTGAGGTCAACTTCTGTTTTCTCCAAAGAAAGAACTTGGGAGGGAAGCTGCTGGAATTTTTGCTGCTTCAGAGGAGGAGGCTCAGGGGAACCCCCAGCCCTGGCTTCCCCCTTCCCACAGCCGTGGCCAGGGCAGAATGTCTGCGGAGGGGAGTGGCCTTGAACAGTGACTCCAGCAGGACACAACGGTGAGTGGGATGTGCACAAGAGGACAGACCCTGCGTGCCCCACTGTCATCCCCTCGGTCCATAGGGGCCTCGCCTCAACAATCAGGAGAGAATGTAGGCAAGTCTGCTCCTCGTCAGGAGAAGCCGGCGTCCAGTGTGATGAGGCTCCTGGTGGGAGTTTGGTTTCCATTTGAGGAAACTAATTTCCAGGAAATCCTATGAGCAAAACAAGGAGGTGGGATTTCCCCCCAAGTCTCCTGCTGTACTTGGCAGCGAGGCCTAAGGGGGTGCTGAAGAAGTGAGGGTAGGGGGGGCTGTGGCCACATGTGGCGAGTAGGGTTGGATTTGTAACTAAGGTGGCCTGGGGGGGGGGGGTGCGGGGTGGAGGAGGAATGAGAGCAGGGAGCACCAAGGGGAGGTCAGAAGTATAAGTGGTCCCACAGAAGACAGGAGACCTGAGGACAAACCTGGAAGACTGTGCTAGTTTGTCATTTATACATGTGTGCAGAGGTGTGCACTCCAACCAGCCCCTCCCGACCATCTCTCTATCTTACCTGGATACCCTGGATATCTTACCTGGAGCCCATTCTGCTCCCCAGCTCAGGGTCCACCAAGGGCTTCCTGTGGCCTAAGATGAGGAGCCCAACTTCCTAAAAGGACCTCATGCTCTGGCTTGACCTCCTTGGTCAACCCAACTCCACCGCACTCCAGCCCTGGCCTTGACCCTGGGGAGAGGTCCCGACTCGGTGCCTGTGTCTCCACATCCCCATCTTCAGGGCCCTATGCTCTGTTTCCAGCCAGGAAACATCCCTGAGCTTGTGCCCCCGCCGGCATCTAAGCCATGCACAGGTCTGCTGGCACGTCTCCTGCAGCAGCTCCCACGCCCTGTGCACCTGAGTCAGGCTCTCCCAGGGGAAGGGCAGCCCACTCGCCTGGATTCCCCCAGAGACCCCGTGTAGTGCCTGGCGCATGTGGACACACCACAGATGCTGACCGGGTGCCAGTCCTACCTCTGCCAGCACCGCCGAGTGCTTGACAAACGGCCAACCTCGCAATCAGGCGGCTATCATGGCTGAAGCTACATTCATTCTGCAAAGTTTTACTCAGCAAAGCAAAAGTATGACGTTCACTTCTTTCTTTCCCCAAATGTCAGGGGAAGTACAAGACACAAGCCCATTTGAATGGGCCCTTCCAGTGATCTTAGCAAGAGGCCTCGGACTTTCCCCCGCCCTAAACGGAATGGCAGATCTAGAACAGAAATGGAGGAAGCAGAAGTGTGTTCGGTGACACATGAAACGGGCACCCTCTCCCCCCCCCCACCCCCGAGCGTGGTTCTCCGTGGAGAGTGAGGACTCAGGACACCCCGAGGAGCAAAGCACAACCAGCTGGCAGCTCCGCAGGGCTCACTGCACACCTGCCCCAGGTGGGCCCTGTGCTATGTCCAGTGCCCAGTGTCGTTAGCATCGTCCTCGTGGTGGAACGGATCTCACGAACCACTGGACACTTCTGCTGCCGGATGCTAAGGGCCTCTGCACAGCACGACAGGGAGGAGGCCGGGAGGAGGCCGGCTTGGAGACTCAGGCTGGCTCCTGGGGACAAAGGAAACACCGCCGGCCCCACGCACAGCTGCTGAACACACCCACGCAGGTGTACAGAGATGCTTTCTGACGAAGCCGAATGCAGACCCAAAGCCTCATGGAGGGAAGACTGGTCACAGCAGCTGGAGAGCGGAGGACGGCCTGAAAAACAGGAGGGACCCTAGGGAGGTTTAAGTAGGGGTGTGATGAGGGCAGTGCCGCACTCTGGGAAGGTGGGCTGGACAGGACTCCCCCACAGGCCTGACACCAAGGACACAGGGGTAACAGAGACTCTGTACTGACGTTATTGAGACATAATTTTCAAAAATTAAAATCCATCTGCATCAGGTGCACTCAGTGCATTCAGACAAGTGTCTGAACGGTCCATCAACCTACAAAGCATCTGGAGCAGAACATCTCTTGGTGCCCCCATCCACTCGGCCCCTCATGCCCTCCTGGCCACAGGCCACCACCCCTCTGCTGGATGTCACAATGGACTCATTTTTCCTCCAATCTCATGAACGTGAAATCAGCCGTGCATGCTCTTCTGAGCCTCCCTTGGTTTGCTTAGCTCAGTGGTTTCGAGATGCACGCGTGCTGCTGAGTAGATGACAGGGTATTCGCTTTTGTTACCGAGCAACACGTCCACGCGTGGACGTCCCTCAACGTATCTGATCCCTCCCGACTGTTTTCAGCTGCCATAAACTTTCACGTGCAGATTTCTTTAGTGAACCTGTGTTCACTTCTCCCAGGAACACCTCTAGGGCTAGGACTGCGGGGCCGAGTGCTAAGTGGTTCATTTTGGTTTGGGTTTTTTGTGAAGATAAGCAGTTTCATCAGAAACCACTACCATGTTTTCTGAAGCAATGGCGCTGCAGTCCAGGAGGCCCGGGCACTCTCCCTCCTTGCCAACTTTTGGCGTGGTCCATCTTGTCAATGTCTCCATTCTGGCATCTTGTTGTGGCTTCACATGTGTCTTCTTTTTTTTTAAGATTTTATTTA